TAGTAGCAGTAGTGCACCAAATCTGAGTGGTGCACTACTGCTACTAGTGGTGAGAAAGTGTGTTGCACCTTATTCAAAATCAATGTGGTCCCACGGCCCTCTGCGGCCCAAAGTTAAAAACTGTTGTTCTTTTGAGGCCCTCAAGGTGGCGCTAGGTTAAGAATCTCTGGTCTAACTGTCATTTAAGGAAAGTTTAACATTTTTAAAGATAACTCTGGTTATTCTTCAGGGTTTATGAGTCTTAAAAAGTCACCAAAGCTCAAAATTTAATGAATTTTAGGAATTAAAACATCTTATAAATGTCTACATTTTCCATTTTAGGTGTTAAAATACTGTACATTGAGATGTATTTATTTTGTATGTTGTTATTTGTTGCTTTTTCCATCAACTTTAGATTTGATGTCTTTTTTATTCTGTGTTGACGTTTTGTCTCATMAGATTTGGATTGTTATTATTATTATCAGGCAGCATGTTTTACTTCCTGCTCAGATGATAGAAGTTTAGATATTTATAACGTTTAACGATCTCACTCAGTTTGAACTTGACTGACCTGAGGGAAGAAGAGTTGACCAACATGTTCCTTCTCTTGTGTTTTACTGAATGAAATGACTGTGAGCTGCATGTGTTTGTCACCTGACAGGTAAGATCTTRCTTCTGGAGAACAGCACCATCGACACAGGAGAGGTGGACGTGGGGAGACGAGTCGTTCAAGACGTCCCACCAGGTTCAAACTCAAATATTTCATTTGATTTCGTTTAAAAACAAAAAGGCAACTAGTTTTTGATACCTGAACAGTATTATATTATAGGACCCTCCCAGCTGAGGGTCATTAGGGTCTTTGTTTTCCTGTTTCACAGAGCGATGCTTTGGTCTCATGTGTGAAGGTGTGAATTAGAGGGAAATGACTGAGTAATATTGGGCTTAAAGCCATTTAGAATGGTGTCCAGTCTATTGTGTGCTGACCAGTTGTAGCTAACACAGATTGGAGGTAATCTAACTTAATCTGATCAGGTAATGATTTATAAGCAAACATCAAATATTCTTTGCATTTGTTTACTACTACAAGCAGTGAACAGGTGAGTGGAGGTTTGGACCCAGATGCAGACACACAGGCTCGGGTCTCAGATCTGTAGGGGGCGCCAGCGGGGGGGTGGCACTGACTTATTCTCAGAATAAACAAACTATTTTCAAATACCTCTTTAGTTGATTAAAAAAAGATCTTAAACACAAAGCATACAGACAGTTTAACTGTTAATTTTTTATCAGTAGATACTTAAGATACATAAGATCTATGTCAATAAGAAAAACGTTACTTTTGTAAAGAAAAAACTGTTGACCCATGAAATGAAGAAACATCTTTGGTTAAAACATAAAACATGAACTGGTCAGCACAGGAAATAAAGTTTAAAAAGGAAAGTTTGTATTTGACTTGATTCTGACATTATTAAAGACTCTTAGTTGACCTCAAACTGACATCAATATGAAAGGAAAAAATATAGGTAATCTTTTGTATCTTTTTGCAGATGTAAAACAGACATATTGATACAACAGTTCTTATTTATTTTTTTATTATTTTGAGTCACAATGAAGGGACTTTTGTGTACCAGAACGTGAACTGATCAGGAAGTATGGAGGTAAATTTGTGTTTTTATTATTCAATCAAACAAAAAGCATCTTCAATCAAAAAAAGAATTTCAATCAAAAATGTTTTTTTCAACCAAACAAAAAATAAATTCAATCAAAAAATAATATTTTCAACCAAAAAAAAAAAATTCAACCTATTGTATATTGT